GCTATGTTACAATCCGCTGGACATGCCATATCAATTAGTAGGCAAGTTTTTTTCTTTCTGGTTTTTGACAATAATGTCCGGCCTATTTGCTTCAATTTTTCTGTCTGTGTGGATGGTATAATCCCATAGAATGGTGACATCTTATTATTATTATTATTATTATTATTATTATTATTATTATTTCTGCTATGGACACACTACCTACCAAGTCTGCGGAAAGACCTAAGGCAGGTCGTGGTGTGTTGTTATGGCCACATTTCATGTTATTTTTTTTTTTTTTTTTTTTTTTATCTCCGATGAAGTTGCTAGCGTTACATAGACAAAAGTTCTCCTTAGTGTGTGTGCTGTACTTAATAAGACAATTTTCTGTATGTCTCTTAAGCTGGGGTTTCAGGGATTCTTTCAATGTGTTGTTTTGTTCCATTTTTATAATTCCAAGTGCACCTATTACCACTGGTATTATTCTTGTTTTCAATTTCCACATTTTTTCTATTTCAATTTCCAGGTCTTTGTATTTTGATAGTTTTTCAAATTCCTTGGTTGCTATGTTACAATCCGCTGGACAAGCCATATCAATTAGTAGGCAAGTTTTTTCTTTCTGGTTTTGACAATAATGTCCGGCCTATTTGCTTCAATTTTTCTGTCTGTGTGGATGGTATAATCCCATAGAATGGTGACATCTTCTATTTCTGTAACCGGCGCTGGCCGATGTTCATACCAGTGTTTGCTTACACATTTTCCAAAGTGTTTGCACATTGTCCAGTGTAAGTATTGCCCCACTCTATCGTGACGATTTTTATATTCATTTGGGGCAAGTATAGAACATCCTGAGATTAGATGGTCTATTGTTTCTTGGTATTTGTCACAGAACCTGCATTTTGGATCCACATTATTATGTATGATATTTGCCTGAAAATTCCTAGTGAAAAGACTCTGGTCTTGCGCTGCAAGAATAAAGCCTTCAGTTTCAGACTTTAATCCAGATGCTCGTAACCATCGATGAGTATTAACTTTATCAACATTGGGTTTATTTGCACGTTCTGGATATTGGCCATGCAGAGGTTTGTCTTGCCAGCGTTGTTTCATCTGTTCAAGGGCTTTATCCTTGGCTTTCTTTTTTCATATCTTTTGCTGCAATAGTTGGTTCTTGGCTTCTGTTTTGATTTACTACAGAATCTACTAAATGTAAATGTTGTTTGTATTTACTGCCTTCTTTTATTATTGAATATTTTTTTTTTTCTGTTTTCATGTTGTTTCACTAATTTTATCATCCAGTCATTTGTTGTTTCCATGTAAGTTAGTAAGCCAATAGTTGTTGTCTTGTATGACAATTCTAGCTGAATAAGACCTCTTCCACCTTCTTTACGGGGTATGTATAGACGGTCTACATCAGCCTTTGGATGATGCATCTTATACTTAGAAAGAAGCTTTCTTGTTTTAGAATCCATTTGTCTGATGTCATTTAGAGTCCAGTTCAAGATGTTGAAACTATATTGGACCACTGGGATGGCAAGGTTATTAATGGCCATAATTCTGTTCTGAGAATTCAATTCAGTTTTTAATACCAGTCGTTTATTATTATTATTATTATTATTATTATTATTATTATTATTATTATTATTATATAATTCAAAAATCAACTATTTACTTTCAAAATGCAAGGGTCGTAACTCTTGATCAAATTATTTTATTTTTACGGTCTGGCGCGTGGTGACATTTCACGCTGTCCATAATGCCGATCAAACATTTTGAGAAAATGCAAATATTTTATTAATTAATACTTATAATGTATAATAATGACAGCATATTTGCATATTCATAAAATATTTGGTTGTCATTATGTCACCGTGTGAAATATCACCACAAAGAGCGCATGCGTTTAAAAAGATTCCTCGCGAGTTATAGCCCTTGTATATTGAAACGAAATTATTTGATTTTCAAACTTCCCACACCAGAAGTCACTAAGTACAAATTTAACAGAGAAGATAAAAGTTGGGGAAAAAAATTATTAATTTTGTTTCAAGGTTAAGAAAATGCATAAAAAATTTCACCAAAATTTTTTTTTTATATCTATTTTTGTTTGAGAATTTTCACAGTCGTCCACAGTTATTTCCCTTAGATGGTGTTTAGCGCAATTCTATTTGACGCATCATATTCAGTTACAATAATCTTAATAAATCTGTAAAGTAGTGAATGCAAGTTATACTTTTTAACGTAAAAAAAAATTTTTTTAAAAATCATTCCAATTTTTCCGGTTTTTAAACTTATTTAGAACAGAAGAATTTGGAATTAAACAATTGTCGTTTATACTTGAAACTTTTTTTTTTATTTCTGAAATAATACATGCTTGTTTTTTTTCTGTACAAAAAAAAAATAATTTAATTTCTCTTCTTTCCTCAATAATTATTTCTTTTCTTCTCTGATGCGTGACGCTAGGAAGATTTTTTTTTAATTAATTCACCCTAAGCAAGGCAGTAATGCCACTAAGACGCAAGAGGCTACTGGGAATGAGAAGACTTTAGAAGAACCGAAAACCTAATACTAAATCGAAAATAATTCATAAATCTCAACTTCTATTCAAAAGACTGAGGAGGGGTGTTGATTGAACGATAAAAAAGATGGATGCAAGATCCTCCAGATTCGATTACATTTGAATACATATTCATAAAGAAGAAATTAACTTCTTAAAGGATTCTGAAGACTGTTTTTTTATATTCTTCTGAAACGAGATGTATTTTATAATATTTTGCAAAAAAAAAAGCTAAAAAAGTTTTCTACTTGTGACGTTTTGAAATGTTAAAACTGAGAATTTATTTATGTTTTTTTTTATTTTCTTAGAGTAGAAACACAGAAATATGTGCTTTATTGATTTGAATCTAAAATTGATTCAAATCGTTGAATGCTTTTGTTTCCCGCCTTACTTGAAAATTAAATATGATAACAATCACCAATGAAAAAATCTTTTATCATTTTCATTGTAATTTATTTATGTAAAATTATTTGAACAGACACCCTTTCCCCCCTTTTCTATGGAATGGATAAATGCTATCTGAAACGTGAATCCACTTCGTTACAATTTCTTATTTGTTTTCAGAAATGACAAAAATGTGTTAATTCTATTTTGAAAAAAAAATATTTTCCAGTTTCTTTGTAAATAGAAAAAAATGAAAACGTTATATTAAATTTTTTCTATTTTGGTCATTAGTTGTTATTTTGACTTTCTTCAAAGTCTCCAACATTCAGCAGAACTGAATTGTCGTTTTAAATGCAATCACAATACACAGAAGAGAATGGATGCAAATAACAATTTTCATTCGGACTGTCCGGAAACTATCCAGCCTTTTTGAACATGTGGAGATTACCTCCTCTTAGTGGCGCTATCTAGGACTATAAAAAAGGGGGAATAACTCTTTCTTCTTCTCTCATTTTCTCCGAAATGTAAAAGGTTCAACATGAGTATTGTCCCCCATCAGGCAAAAAAATCTTTCTCCCGGGCAGTTACTTACTAATTTTAAACTTTCAAACACACACACACACGATTCTCATGAATCCTCCTAATATAACAGTCTTAAAATGTTTTTCTCCTTTTTTTTCAGCTATTTGTGAACATACAAGTATATTTTGTCTCCTCTTGTTTTCCTAATCTTTATATAAAAATATTTATGTTAATTTCTTCCGAGTATTGAAACTGGTTCCTTCTAAAACTGTTGATTTCAATTTCGTCAAGGTTTCTTAATCTATAGACACGCACTCCTCTACAAATATCTCAACTACCTAATTTTTGTATCTTGTATAGTATTTGTGGGGGGGGACATTACATCATCTAAGTCTGTCAGATCTAGCACCCTCACCCCGCCAAAAAGATGGGAGGGGCAAAAAATGCGTGCATTCATCATTTATGCCGAGCCTGGAAAAGTAGTTTATTTGGAAAGTGCAAGTGATACTGTGGGATAAATGTGCAAAATCCGAACCTTTCAAGAAGTCTAAGTCGCCATTTCACTGTATAGATTACTTTTTTCTTTTTCTTTTTTTATTAAACGACTGAATCATACCCGGGTACACACTTCATATATGAATTAAATCTGGGTACTCAAGTCGTAAATGAATCATATCCGAGTACACACCTCGTAAATCATTTGTCTCTCAAATGTTAGTCTTTACTTTGAGGAAAATTTAAAGACGATGTTTTTGCCCGCGGTTAAATAGAAAATCTCCGAAGAGGTTCCACAAGAAAAAGAAATAAACGTGGTCTTTTTTGAGCGGAGAATAAGTGTTACTTCTTTTGGAATTCAATTTGGGGAAACAAAATGAGACAAGAAATATTTCTGTTGCTTTTTATGTTTGAAGAATTGTGTATTTTAGAGAAAACTCCATGACAGACAATTTCTGAACAAAGCAAAAGACTTCTTTCGTTCTTATGATTAGATTCTCTTTGGTTGATTTGTTTTTTACTACTTATCAACCCTTTGCGGGTTATTTAAAGCCAGAAAATATTTCTAGATTGTAATATAAGTCTTACTAATTAACTCATAGCTGGAGGAGAAGAGGTGGATTCATACATTCCTCAAGGGTATTTTTGCACGTAAGGGAACATAAGAAACCCGCTGGATTTGGAACTCGGCTCTCCGATTAAGAAATTCCGAGCCATTATCCATTGCACAATACACACATCCAAGCTTACATCATCTGGTATATTTAAGTGGTCACCCATTTAGGTACTTACCAGACTCGACGTTGCTTAACTTGGTTTTTCAACGTGATATGGCCGTAAGTCTAGATTATCTTTGGCTTTGTTATTTGTAATAGTTCTCTCTCTCTCTCTCTCTCTCTCTCTCTCTCTCTCTCTCTCTCTCTCTCTCTCTCTCGGCGTGTCTTTCTATTCATATCCACCTATCTCTTTTTGCTTATTCATATCTATCTATCTATCTATCTGTCTATCTATTTTGCAAGTTCAAAACAGACCACATGGGTTTCAAATCAAGGGAAATGTGTGCACTTACCATTTGTAGTGAGAATTTGATACAATTCAGCGGCTGAGACGAAACCCAAACCTTCGCGATCAAAACTTTTGAAGGCTTCCATAAAATCTTTAAAGGTTCCTGTGTCTTTCTCTTTCGTAATTGACTCGTAACAAGCAAGAAACTCCGAATAATTCAACTGCTTTTCCCCTGGAATCGAAGACAGAAGAAACAAACATAAGCAAGTCATTAGAAAGACAGAAAGAAATAGGAAACGTACGGCTTTTCGTCAGGTGTATATAGCGATCCAGGTAACCTACGTGAAAATCTCGAAGTTGGTACAAATAGCCTAGTGAAGTAAAGCGTTGCGTGATAAATAATCCCGAGATTTGAACCTAGTGGAAACGGAATGAACAATAACTGAGCAGTACAAAAATAAGAACTAGATGAGATAAGACGTGAGCAATGGAACGAAAACAATCTAACCCAGAAAACTAGTTCAGTTCAAAATTACCTGGATCGGCAGACACCTGAAGAAGGTCGGAGGGTACAACGGCCGAAACGTGGAGATGACAAGGACAAAAATAAATACAAGAGCCTTTATGTATATATAATTTAATAAAAAAGAAAACGATAAAAGAAAGAAAGAACAAATTGTTTTTCCCTTCGAAATAAAAAGAAAACTAAAAGAAAAAAAGTAAATAATTGAAAGTTTTCGTGTTAAAGGACATGAGGAGCAAAGGTTGTGAATTTGAATTTACTTAGATGAAATTTTTAACAAACCAGAGGTCAAATTCTGAAAATCAGTACAAATTTCTCGATTGAACCGGTTTTGTTTCTAAGTTCCGAGACGATGAAAATAATTTGAAACATTGAAAGCAATTTCAAAAACTGACAAAAATATTTAGAGTTCTTGGAAAATTGATCCGACTGAAATGCTGACATGATCCTGGTCAATAAAGAAGGTGGGGCGGCTTAACATTAAAAGAAATTAGTGGAAAAAGCTAAAGGGTGGCCAAAGATGGAACGATGATCTGATCCGATACCTCGGCCCTACATGGCTCAGTATGACCAGGGATACGAAGTAGTGAGGTCAGGGAGAGGGGAGCCTCCAACAGGAGTTTGAAGGTCCAGAAATTGGATAAATAAATTGATTTAAATAAATACATGAAACAAAATCTACAATATTTTTGTTGAAAATTGCCGCGTTTTCCCGTCTTTTTTTATCGCTTTTCGGCGAATTCGGGTCATTGCTTGAAATATCGAATCATTTTCTATGAAATATATTTTCTTTTCTTAAATAAATTTGTGATTTGATTGTCTTCAAAATTTGGTGTTTTCAAATAAGCAAAGAATATTCATGAATTAATAATTTATTTTTACCTGTATATTTACATGAGTCAAACACTATGACCAAGTAACAAGAATAACGGCGAACTACACATATTAGGTCAGATGCATCGAAGCAACTTAGAGACATTTGTTTAAATGAGTTAAATGCTACAGTCATGGGAAAGTAAAGAAATTTTGAGTCATTTTTATACTAATGTTCACTCAATAACAGGCCCAAGACACATTCAAGGTAGAGAGTTATTGTGTGATGTTACATTAGCATAATAAAGGACAAGAAGTGAAGTTCTTGGGGTTATGCAAGGAAGATAACGGCTAATTCTAGACTTGAAGAGGTCAAGATTTAATTAGTGTATAACATTTCAGAGTTCATTCGGAGACGTTAGACACATAGAGGTGAAGTAGACTTTAAAAGGAACCGGAAATCCAGTCCTAAACAGAAAACAAGGGATAAAGTTCTGAATTTAAAAAAAAAAAGTCTTAAAATTAAATAAAACATGTTCAAAACGACTCAGCTTCAACTGTGTTGAGTGTCTAACGTCAATGCTAAGAGGAGGTAAAAACCACAAAGGCCTTTGACAAAACCATTCACGGCTAATGTGAAAAATAAATGGTAGATTTTTCATCTGAGCCCTAAAACAAAATGCTGTAACATAAATTATAGATATCTGTAATCATAAAGGAAGAAAAGAATGCTTCACAATGTGCAATATATTTGATCCTTATTGAGTCTAAGTTTTCATAGCTAAAGTTCAGTCGCAGTACCGAGGCTGACAATACTCCATACCTAAGAGCGTCTCCACCTAACTTTCACATTGTCCTGAATAATGTGAACGGCAAATTCGTCGTTATCATGAGGAAACAATAACACCAATGATTCCAAGGCAATTAAAACTGGTGTCGCTCTATTGTCTTGACGATCAAAAACCTCAATACCTTTGACCTCTTATGGAATGTGCTGAATAAACAGGTTCGCTTAGCAGGACCTCTACAATTTAACGAAGCATTTAACATCATGGTAGCACATCACAAAACCTTTTCAGGTTTTATACAGTTTATGCCTGCTATTTACATTGCACGGACTATCATCCTCATCTTTGTCGCCATATTTCTCACAACGTTTCGGTCGTTGTACGCTCCGACCTTCTTCAGGTGGTTGGAATGTTGAACTGAACCCTTTATTTCTCTCGCTGGGGTAGACTGTTCTAGTTCCTCAAGGACACATGACACAGTGGATAAAGGCGTTAGTTAGATTCAGTGACAGGACCCAGAGAGTGTGAGTTCAATACCTGGTTAAAGCGGTGGAGAACTTGGAGAGAGGAATTAACAGGAGATAACTGATAAATGACATCCATTAGACATGGCACGTGGAACTAGAACAGTCTACCCCAGCGAGTGAAATAAAGAGTTCAGTTCGACATTCCAACCACCTGAAGAAGACCGGAACGTACAACGGCCGAAACGTTGTGATAAATATGGCGACAAAGATGAGGATGATAGTCCGGGCAATGTAAATATTATACATAATACCTCATCTCAGAGATATAGACAGATAGTTTATGCCTGATTCTATATAAACTGATTTCTGGGGACAGGGCCATGGTCAACATGGTTATTAGATAGTATAAGATAAGCTCCTTAAGTTGGTGACAATTTCACGACACAATTTTTGTTGTTCTTTGATGTCTGTCTCAATTTCAATGAGAAGACTTTGATCCTAAACCTCCAGGATTTTGATCATTTTCACCTCATATGATTTTGATCATTTTCACCTCGTACGGTTTTGATCATTTTTAATTTTTTTTTTTTAAACAAAATTAACAACCAGTTATCCAACATATTCGCGTGCAAAGTGAGGGTGTAGAGCATTGGGTTATTACTTACCGGCCTTTTTTGTGCCACCGTGTCTCCTTATAAGCTCTATGGTTGGATTGAGTCCAACACATCGCAATAAATCTCCGATTTTGACAGCATCAATCAATCCATCTCGACCATCCCAGAAATCGAAGAGATCGAACACTTCCTGAACTTCTGTAAAATTAAAAATAAAACAAACAAGACAATCATCAATTAATAAACCGATTAAATTATATAAATAATATAAATGATCTTAAAAAGAAATATTTATTTATAAAAAACTGTTTTATTTTGTCAGATTTCCTAAACTGTAAAAACCATTCTTTAAGGACATCTTGAAAACATTTTTTCTTCAAATAACGATAAACTTTTCAATTCAATTATCAGCTGTGATTATCAATACAACAACATGAAAATAAGTTTGGCGAATTTGCGGAAAATAAAAAAAATATTTCACTCAATCTTCACCAATCTTTCATTTTCGCATCGCATTGTTACAGGTGATGAAAAATGGGATTTGCACAAATATGATTTGTGTTTAGGGGGATATGAAAGGGTGCCGTTCATTACGAGCGACTGGAACATGGACGGACCATCACTGCAGATATTTAACTTTTTCGGGTAAAAGAAGCATTAAATCGAAAGTGTTTTGCTTTGACAATCAGAAAAGAATTTGTTACTCTTCTATAAAACAAAGAAAAGGCACAGTCTGCAAAAAAACGGAAAAAAAGATCATTAGAATGGGGGGGGGGTCCTTCCGCGTCCTCTATACTCACTAGATTTTGCACCAACAGATTTTTATTTGTTTTTATCATTACGAACATTTCATAAGTGAACAGGACAATCTGAAAGAAAGAAATTGAAAACCATCTTTCTTTTCCCGTCAAAAACCCCATACTTCTTTAAATATCCAATCAAATACTTGCTTTCCTGTTGGACTGCAGTCGTTGAAAAGGAAGAGGATTGCATTTTGATAAATAATATTTAAATAGGTTTACATTTGATCATTTTATATCCTTTCTGGCAAAACACAATTACTTTCCTAACACTATATATATATATATATATATATATATATATATATATATATATATATATATATATATATATATATATATACATGTAAAAGAGCGAAGAATAAAATTTCAACGTTCAAAATATTAATTTAAAACAGGGCTCATTACAAGAGTACAGCAATAAATATTTATTATACACTGTTACATTAGAACATGTAAATATCCACTACAAAATTGTACATTTTGTTTCAACGTTTAATAAACAACGTCTCATCAGGTAGTTAACATTGATGATAATAAACGATTTTATTTAAAATTGCAATTTATGAAACATCACTTCATTTTCCGTTTTTGGAAAATATTTTTATAAACAAAAAGGAAAAAAATAAGAAATCAATAAAAGGAAAAAAAAAGAGGAAAGAAAAGAAAGCAAAAGAAATAAAACCTCGTACCAAGAGAATAGAAAGAAAAGAAAGCAAAAGAAATAAAACCTCAAGAATAGAGAAAGAAAACCAAAAAGAGAATAGAAAGAAAAGAAAAGAAAAAAAAGAAATAAAACCTCGTACCAAGAGAATAGAAAGAAAAGAAAGCAAAAGAAATAAAACCTCGTACCAAGAGAATAGAAAGAAAAGAAAGCAAAAGAAATAAAACCTCGTACCAAGAGAATAGAAAGAAAAGAAAAGCAAAAAAAACCTAAAACCTCGAAAGAAAAAAAGAAAACAAAGAAATAAAATAGAAAGAAAAGAAAGCAAAAGAAATAAAACCTCGTACCAAGAGAATAGAAAGAAAAGAAAAGCAAAAGAAATAAAACCTCGTACCAAGAGAATAGAAAGAAAAGAAAAGCAAAAGAAATAAAACCTCGTACCAAGAGAATAGAAAGAAAAGAAAAGCAAAAGAAATAAAACCTCGTACCAAGAATAGAAAAAGAGAAAAGAGAAAGAAAAGAAAAGCAAAAGAAATAAACCCTCGTACCAAGAGAATAGAAAGAAAAGAAAAGCAAAAGAAAGAGAGAAATATATTCAAAATTATACAGATACAAAGTGAAGAGGAAAGTTAAGGAAATAACATATGAGAAGATGTTGATACGAGTTAAGCCAATGAAATTATGCTAAAAAAGAGAAAACACATTAGCCACAATATCGCGTCTCAAATTTTATGGCATTTTAATAAAATCATAGATTCAAACACAATTATCCGTAGAACATAAATAAAGGAAACTTTAAGAAACAATAAAATACTTAACAAAACCAACCTTAAAATAGAATACAAAATACTTTTATATTTTTATATTAATTTAAAATTAGAAAACTATTATCAATACAGCAAGTAATAATAATAATAATAATAATAATAATAATAATCCTACTACCAGTAATTGACGAATACTAACCAATATAATACCTAAAGCTAGAATAAATTACTAATAATAACAGTAAAATGTTTATATAAATATAAGAGGAGTGATTATTGAGTTATGAAGTTTAGCAAGATTGTAAGGTTAATGCCTTAATATTCAAGAACTTATTTCCATTTTCTCTTGTAGACAGAGGAAGCATTGTTCGTTCATCGATCTGGAGATTCTAATTTGTTTGGGAATTTTCCATTTAACTTTAGGTCTTTTATGTTCCTGTTAAATGGAAAATTCTCAAACAATCTATGTAACATGTAACTTACATGTTCTAATGTATTATATATATATATATATATATATATATAGGACGACAAAGGGGTACTGAGATTTTTCAATTTTTTTTCTCCAGCCGAATTCATTTAGAATTTTTTCTTTTTTTTTCCATCACTTTTGTTAGTAGATATCCCACACTGTGATATTAGAACATCTGCCAGGAATGGTGAAATGTTGTAAGATCCAGGGCACAAATTTACTGAAGATAACCTTCGTTTAAGGCACTCTCTAGACATTTACGTCGTAATGAATTATTTTCTCCTTTGATCAGAGTAGCATTTTTTATGTTAAAATTGTGGCTAGTCTCGTTACGGTGGGCAACCAACGCATTTGACGCATTCTTTTGTAACATTCCTAAAGAAATGTGTTCCTGAAATGACTCCTATTCCCTCGAAACTCTACAATAAAGGATTTACGGCTTAATGGAAATCCTCTTCTGTAGTTCCTGTTTTTATGAACTCGTTCTCTAAATATCGGTCTATTAATTTCTCTGTCTCTTTTTGGTAATGTACTAGAAGCTATAATCAACTGTGAATTGGTTATGTGTCTCATCTCACAGGATCTACTTGGGGGAACAATTAAATTGAATCAATTGATAGTTCTGCTGCTAGGAAAGTTACTTTACTATGTCGAGGCAATTTTTCTCGACAGAATCTATTTTATATTCATCCATGCATTGTATATCACTACTACATCTGATCCGACGTTTCTTGATTCTTGATAAAATACAAAGAAGAATCTGCAATGTTATTGGTCCTGACCTGACATCTCGGTCTCAGTCACATTCTCACCACCGTTTTTTGCCTTTTCTAGAAGTATTTTTATAGTAACTATTTTGATGAGCTTTCCTCTTTGGTGCCTAGACGTTATGAATTTAATCGCAGTACTAGATTGGCAGTTAGGTCTCATCATATTACAGTCGAAATGGCTAGATATAATCATATCTCCGATGATAATAATTTCTTTTCTCACACTTCTCGTTTGTGGAAATATCTTCCAGTTTCTTGCTTTTAAGTCAAATTTGATTTTTATAAAATTAAATTCAATGTTAGTCGTCGTCATTGTTTTTCTTGAATCCCGTCCTTTTATTATCCTTTCTCGTTAATAATGATTTTCTCTAAATCTACAACTCTTCGTAATCCGTTGTATCTTAGGGGTTTTATCGCCTTGATTGAGATGAAATGATTTTATCTTTTTTTCTATAAAAATCTCGATTTTGCTTTTGATTGTTACTTCGCGCAAAAATATTTTCGTTTTTTTTTATTGAAAAATAAGGGACACTAAAAGTAGACTTCAAACTAGAAAATGTTTCTGTCCTTTGTAGTCATCGAGATAGAATTTTCGCTTCTCCAAAATTGATTATTTAATGTTTCCAAACAAGCTAATTCCGAAATGTTGGCAAATAATAACCATTCCTTGTCTTGTGAGGTTTATCTTTATTCTCCGCCCAGGCAAACCAACTTTCTATAAAACGTTTTTGTTTAGGATTCTTATCATTCTTGATATTTTATCTTTGTCGGTAAACGCTACCCTGGTTTTGAGGAATTCCTTTTGCGTTTTGGAATAATTTTATCTATTACGAATAGCTCACTTATCAAAGTCATTCCCTCAAGCAATAAACTTCTCGCTGTCTCTCGTTAAAGATTTCCTAAGCTTAGATTCGTCCGGTTCAAAGTAACACGGGCGAATGGTGGGGGTTATAAAGATAGGGTCGGTACCAATTTGGCATATGAACAAAAGTTCTGTCTGCTTGCCTTGAAAATCAGCATTCAAAATAGCTACTTTTAATTGAGCTCATATCTACTTTTTTTATTCAGCGGCTCTCTTCCTCCCACTATATATCTCTCACGCACACACACACACACACACACACACACACATATTTTAATTTCTCTCTAACCATGACCTTTACCTCCACACACACAGGCACGCATCGTCTCTCTCTCCTTTTCTCCACTTTTATTTTCACTCTATCTCGCTCATCTAATCTTTTCTCCACACACATCTTTGTATCTTTCTTACGCAGTTATATTTTTCTCTCATCTTTTTCTTTCTTTCTCTCTCATTCTCTCTCTCTCCCTCTCTCTCTCTCCCTCTCTCTCTCTCTCCCTCTCTCTCTCCCTCTCTCTCTCTCTGTCATAACTCACTTTCTTCTTCTTCTTCTTCCTCCCCCCTTCCCTCATTCTTCTTAAACAAAGTGCATAGCTTGCAAAATAAAGAAATTGTTCTCAAATTAGGGTTTTGTGCTTTAGTTGACCTAATCCACCCAAACATCGCTTTCATCATTTCAACGTATTTCCATGTCCCACAAAAGTTTCAAGTCGAAAACATTTTCTCCATCAATGAAAATTTTGCTTAAGTTTGAGTCAAATTCGCCAAAATCAACCAATTTTATCAAATCCTCAAATGGAGTCTCTTCTCTTTCTAACGTTTTATCAAAGAATGTTCGCCTTTCGAACAAGTTCTTTTCATATATATATATATATATATATGTGTGTGTGTGTGTGTGTGTGTGTGTGTGTGTGTGTGTGTGTGTATATATATATATTTATATATATATATATATATATATATATATATGTATGTATATATATATGTGTGTGTGTATGTATGTATATATATATATGTATGTAT